CGTGCCTCCTCCTCCTCCATCGCGCGCCTCCGCCTGTGACTTCACCGCGCGCCTCCACCGCCTCCTCCTCAGGTCACCCCCTTTCCTCTATAAACTAGTATTATCTACTCTCTACAAAACCCTAAACCTAATTTATTTGTCCATCTAACCTAATTTCCCTAATTACAGCAATTTAAACGACTTCATCGACGTCACCTTCTCTTCGTCAGACATCCTATTTCTCCGGCACACTTACTTAAGGTAATTTTTGAGAGTTTTCTTTTTTATATAGGAAATATTGAGTTTTACCTGCTATTATCTTGTATTTTCTAAATTTTATGGTTATTCATGAAATTTAGAACTCGTGAATAACTTATTATTGAAATATATAAAAAATAGGTTGCTTGAAAAATCAGTTAAATACCTGTAGTTGTTGCGAATTGTGGACACTCTTACGCCATTTGTTTGGAAGATAGTTTGTTTAGGTGTTGATTTTTTTGGTCCAATAGCTGTTGATTTTTTTAGGACAGGAGACAGTGGGTTTTAACATTTTTTTTTCTAGTAATTTAAATGGCAAGGTGCATGTGCAAGTAGTTTGATATGACCACGATTTTTCGTAATTGTTATTAGAAGAAGAAAATATACTTCTATTGGTGAAATAAATGACAGTTACCAGAAGTGAATGGAAGATCATATTTTGATTTCAAAATTTTGGTATAAAAGCTTTGTTATTATTAATTTTATTCTCAATGTTGATTCGGTGCACCAAAGGTTTAAAGTTATGAAGTTATGATAAAGTTTTCGGTTAACAGTTATATTCTAATGCGTCCTTCAACATTTTAGACATTATTCTTGTTAACTACATAGTAACACTTACAGATAAGTATCGGGTACGAGTACTTTTTCATGATAGAAATACCGTAGTAACATAAGAGCGACTGTTGTTTTTCGCTACACACTTCTTAAATTACGAGTTACATTAATACCTTATGATTTATATAATATTTACATGTTTTCTATTTTATTTAATAAGATTAACATGTTTAAACTTGTTGGCTTTTAATTGTAACCCTATATTCAAAGCAAAATCATGATCATGCTTATCAAGATTCCCTAAATCCATGTTTTTAGAAGTCGTTATTGATATATCATTTTATTTAGGTTAGCATGGCTCGTAACTACATCAGAGATAAGGATTGGATGTATGTGGGTCGTGCAGAACGCATGCAATCTATTTTTGTTAACGGAGTTAGTGCTTTCATGGACTTTGTACGTAGACACGATATGGTACGACATGGGAGACTCATTTGTCCATGTAAATTATGTTCAAATAAGTTGCATCAATTGGAGGAAGAAGTTGAACTTCATATTGTGAAGAATGGTTTTGCTAGCGGTTACAAAACTTGGGTATATCATGGAGAAATTGAAGGTCTCAGTGATGCAGATGATGAAGAACAAGAAGAAGACAACTTTTTTCTTGATGAGGAAATGGAGGAAATGGTTGAGGTTGCTCTTGGTAACAATAACCCTGCTGAAGATCCTCCTTTCGGAAGAGGACATCGTGAAGACAATTATGATAAATACATGAATGATGCTAGGAGGCCCATTTATGAGAATGCTAAACACTCCACGCTGTCATGGTTCGTCCATCTATTCCAGATTAAATGTCTAAATAAATGGAGTAACAAGTCATTTACGATGCTCCTCAAGTTTCTTAAAGATTCTATGCCTCCGGGGAACCATGTGCCTGAAAGCTGGTACGAAGCTCAAAAAATAATGTCTAATCTGGGTCTGAAGTGTGAGATGATACATGCATGTCTCAATGATTGTATAATTTACTGGAAAGAAAATTCAGATAAGATTGCGTGTCCTACTTGCGGAGAGACTAGATATAAGAAGAAAGTACCTGGTCAGAAGAAGGATATACCTTTCAAGATAGTACGATATTTTCCCATAACACAGAGGCTGCAGAGGCTATTCAAGTGCAAGAAGACAGCAGTGGCGATGACTTGGCATCACCGTGCACGTCCAAGTGAAAATGGACGAATGAGTCATCCTAGAGATACACCTGCATGGAAGGATTTTGATAATAGGCACCCAACATTTAGTCAGGAACCTCGCAATATCAGGCTTGGATTGGCTAGTGATGGCTTTTGTCCCTTCAGCTTTAAGGGTAATCCCCATAGCACATGGCCCGTTGTGATGATGGTTTATAACCTTTCACCGTGGTTGGCTATGGACCAATCATATTTCATGATGCCTCTTCTTATTGATGGTCCTAAGTCACCGGGAAATAATATTGACGTCTATCTTCGGCCTCTTATCGAAGAGTTAAGGTCTTTATTCATCGATGGTGTGGAGACATACGATGCGGACACGGGGACTAACTTCACCATGCGTGCAGCCTTAATGTGGACAATCAATGATTTTCCTGCGTATGGAATGCTATCTGGTTGGTCTGTACATGGTTACACTGCATGTCCTTACTGTCATCTCCAGACAACATCGAGAAGGCTACCCTTTAGCAATAAAACTTGTTATTGTGGTCATCGACGCATGTTGGATGAAAATCATCCGTACAGAGATGATATTATCCACTTTGATGGTACTAAAGAGAATCGTTCGCGTCCAGACCCATTATCCGGAGAGGATATACTTGCTCAGTGGAATGGTAAAAACAATGTGGCTTTTGGAAAAGTTAAGGGAAGGCAAGAAACACCACAGGGATGGAACAAGAAAAGTATCTTCTTCGAACTACCTTATTGGAAGACAAATAAAGTGCGACACAATCTAGATGTCATGCATATTGAGAAGGGAGTGTCTGAGCACATACTTAACTTACTTCTCTGTAAAGATGGAAAATCAAAAGATAACCTTAAAGCTCGAAGGGATCTTCACGCGTGGAACATTAGAAAAGAATTGCATCCTATACCAAAAGTAGGCAATCCTGACCAGTTTGTACTCCCCAATGCTGTGTATCACATGTCATCAGATGAGAAGAAAAAGTTTCTTCAGGTGTTACATGAGTTGAAGGTTCCTACAGGGTTTTCAGGATCATTTAGTAAGAAGATAAAGATTGTTAAAGGTAAGATCGAAGGGTTGAAGAGTCATGATCATCATATTATTATGGAGCATCTTCTTCCACTTTCTCTCAGGACTTCCCTTCCTAAATCAGTCGGTTTAGTGATCAATGATCTTTGTAGATTCTTTCGGGAGTTGTGCACTAAAAACATTGACGATGATAAGTTGAAGAAGCTAGAGGCTGAAATTCCTATAATTTTATGCAAGTTTGAGCGGATTTTTCCACCATCATTCTTTGATATCATTATACACCTGACTGTTCATCTTGCAACCGAGGCTAGGCTGGCTGGACCCGTACAATATCGATGGATGTACCCCATTGAAAGGTACCTTTAATTTTTTTTCAATTAACGCAATCGATATATTTTTATTTTACATGTTGGATGTGGTGATTTAGTGTAAGCTTTTATAGGTACCTTCTCACTTTGAAAAACTATATTCGCAATAGAAATCGACCAGAGGGTTCTATTATGGAAGGTTATTTGCTAGAGGAAGTAACCACTTTTTGTTCTCGTTATCTGGATGAAGACATTGAGACAAAACTCAACAGACCTCTCGTGATTCATGACGGACCATCAAAAAAGCCGGATTATAATAGAATGACTCTCGCATTTATCAACAAGATTCATCGCTTTATCATTCTCAATATCGAATGCCTTGGAGAAGTTAGAGAGTATGTCTATTTCACATAATTATATATGTTTATATGATATAATATACTTCTCACATTAACTATACATTTTGACATTAGAATACATAAGGATGAAATACGTGCAATGCATAGTAATTGGAATGAGGCATGCGTTGAAGCACATCATCAGGACAACTTTTCCAATTGGTTTAAACATTATGTAAGATTTCTATTATCTCATTTTTTTGATTCATCCTATTAATTTAATCTAACATCTTTACGTAATTGCCGTATTAACCTTTTGTCAGAGCCGATTACCGAGTGTAGAATCAACTTTAGATAAGGAGCTTGGATATTTGGCTACACTTCCAGATGCTGAACTTAAATACTATAAAGGATTCGGTGTTGGTGGTTACAAGTTTGAAATCAAGTCTATAGAAGAATCTCGAACCACCCAAAATAGTGGAATTGCAACCCTAGGCACTAATGACGAGATATACTATGGGTACCTTGATAACATACTTGGTATCAACTATCCAGGACGAGCAGGATGCATTTATGTCTTTCAATGTGTTTGGTATGACATGAAGACTGGAACTGGTAAGTGGAGAGACAATTACGGGACTTGGGTAGATGAATATGGATTGACGAGTGTAAACACCACGCGTTTTTCCTTTGAGGACGATCCATTTATATTTCCAGAACAAGCATTTCAAGTATACTACTCGAAGTGCTTGAGCCATTCAGGGTGGAGTGTGGTATGTCGATGGAGGCCCAGGGATACTTACGACGTCCCACAGTTCATAGATTCAGAGGTTGTGGAGATCAATGATGACGAAGAATTTGAGCAGGGAGGAGTTGTATGTCAAGATAAATCTCCTGAATTTGATAAAATTTTGTGGGTTAGGAATGATTTGAATAGTGAAATACTTGTAGATATTCCTACAATTTCTAGGGAATCTGTAGAACCTAACACTTCTGTAAAGCGAAAAAGGTAACCATTATAAAATTCATGTTTAAAATTTACATCTTCAGATTTATAAATATGTCTATTTTGCATATATCTTATATGAATTGTAAAATTCTTTATAGGGCTTGACGAATATGTCTGGAGTTCCATCGCAGAGCAGATCACGTAGACTTATACAGCGCGGAGACCTGCATCGTCAGGCGAGAGAGCGTAGGAGAGAACTCGAATCTACTCATGTTGCCACATCCATACCTAGCGATCATACAACCTATTTTTGATCGATCATACAACCTATTTTTGGTGAATTGCAGAAAGCTCAAATCATTGAGGATGGTGGCACACCTACAATGTTGAAACTATATTTGGGTACCCACTCGTCATCGGTAGATAAGATCACCGGAGAGTATACATACCCGGACAACAACACTAAGGAGTATTGTGTAAGTCTTCTCGACGAATATATGTTTACTACACATGAATTTCTTGATTTTTTCCCAGAAGTATGTTTTTTCTTTCTAGATATAACAAAAATGTCTGCCATATGAGAAACAATGATCAAAATACCTTTCATGAATACTACAACTTTACATCAAGTTGGATGTATAAATTGCTATATGGGAGACATGTGAAGCTCTTTCATATGTTCAAATTCTGAGACCTGAGCTACTTTAATATGTTCAAATTCTTTCATGATCATTACATTGAAAGGGTAAGTGATTGATAGCTAATGTCTGGTGGCATGAATAACAATCTGGTAAGTGATTGATAGCAAATTCTGAGACCTGAGCTACTTTCATATGTTCAAAATTTCTCTGGTAGCATGAATAACAATCTGGTGGCATGAAATGAAGACTGAATATACTATGATTGCTCTAGTTTATCTCTGTATCCTCCTGCCTTTAGTCAATCATCTACACTTCAGCTGCTATAATTCTAATCGAGGACTGAATTGCTTTCATGCTATAATCATACTTCTATTTTGATTTTTTTTCGTAAATATATCTTTTGCATTGTCGACTTACAATTGACTACTTTGTATCGTGTAGAATCGAGTCATTGAGGAGGCAACCTTATCCGGAGTTGAATCAGCCACAGAGGACGATGCACTTTATTTCACCCAGATGTTAGATTCTCTGCACGGAGGGCATCACGGTGGTTATGAGAGAGCCATGGGCATTGGTGCCACTCGGACTTACTTGAGGGCATCCTCCATACCGGAAATTGGCGCTTCTAATCAGGAGCTACGTCGCGAGGTGGCTGATCTTAGAGCTCGGGTAGCTGAGATGGATAGTCTTAGAGAGGAGCTTAGGTCTCAGATGCAATGGATTAATAACAATATGGTACGTATGCTAATATACAAACACTCTTGCATACACATGTACACTAGCATACACAAATATACATACATCTAATACTTATATACGTAAACATACACATAGACTTAACACTCATGCAATGCTTGTACTTTATAGGTTAATTCTCAAGGAGCTCATCCTGCCCCCACTCCTAATGATCCCCCAGCTTTTACTCGTCCTGCTCCAATTCCTCAGCCTGCTATCGATATACCACAATCTGGTCGTCCTGCTTCGACTGCTAACACTTTTATTTCTAGTGCTCAACGTTTGTCAAAGGAGAATCTTGCTAGGATATTTGCAGACTTGAGGGGTTCGGGCTTGTCCCAGGAGGACATTCTTCGAGGAATTTCTTCTGTTCCTTGACTGGATGAATAAAGTCACTCTTATATTATATTTTGGATGTATGAGTTATTTTGGATATTAGAGACATATATATAATATTGGATGCTTTTAGTTGTGAGATATTGAGTAATCATTGTGTCTGTATATATAATATTGAATATTTATCACTGTTTGAGACATTTTTGTGTATGTATATATTTTCAATTTCAATGTGATATATTGAGAAATTTTTGTGTGAGATGTGTGTATTAAATGTAAGTAGGTAGATATTTAAAATAGCTAAATTTTAAAAAAAATGTTAAAAATAAACAGGCCAAACGGTCGAAACCGTTTGGACAAATATCTGTCCAAACGGTTTGAACCGTTTGGACAAAACTTTGTCACAACGAGTTTCGACCGTTTGGCCATTTTTGACAACCCCAACGGTGGTTAACCGTTTGGGAAAGATCCCAAAACGGTTACAACGTTTGGGAATTTGCACCAACGAGTATACACCGTTTGGGATGCCGTTGGGGAAAACTCTTCCCCAACGGCTCCTGTCCAAACGGGTATTTTGCGCGGCCAAACGGTTATACCCGTTTGGGACTGCATCTGTCCAAACGGTTATAACCGTTTGGACAGATCAGTTTTGTACTAGTGCGTGCTTGTTCACAATGGAACTTTATTAGTTAATGGGAATTTGATGCACCTCTAGTTCACAAGAGAAACTTAATCAGCAGCACGTATAAATGCATGCGCCAACATTGCATTCAAATCTCCTGGAGTTGCTTCCAAGTCCTAACTAGTAAGAAAACTATAAACTAGATCCCTGTCAATGTTTGTGATCACATGAAAAGGGTGTTATTTGGCTTTAAAGCTATAAATATCAAACAGAAGATCCCTAGCAAAATTAAGATTCAGAGATGCAGTATGTTTATCTCCATCTGTATGAGTGCGCCAAAGCATGTATCTATAGACAGAAATAAAAATCGCTAACAGTTTGCTTAATTTCTTTCTTTGGTAATAATATGCTCAAGTTGATTATAGGATAATAACACATTTAAAATAAATGCATGTATCTACTTAATGGAAATAGTTTTGTCTGCCTGACAATATATCTACAAAGAGATACTAATCTATTTGTTGAAAACTCTCCTCATATCAATGTGTTGGACCAAATCATAGTAAAAGAATATTAGCTCGGAAGGTTTATTAAGTTATCACAATGATAAAGTTATGAAGTGTTTATTATTTTCCCAGACGTTTCTTTCTCTCTATGGCTTTTCCAGCTCCTCTTCCTTTTTACCGTTCCCATCTTTTAAATCCTTATTTCCTTGCCACCTCACTTTGCAATCCAAACACTCAAAAAGGCAAAGTCACACTAGTAGGTTCGCTGATAATGTGCAATATTAGTAGATATGTGCAAGAGAGAATTTTTTTAAGATTACATTGCTATTAGTAATGTTAAATTTTTCTTTTTTTTTTGTGGGGGGGGGGGGGGGGGGGGGTCTGTAATTAATTTTCTCCTTTAACGTTATAGCCAGCATAGAAAGGGCTTAGTATGAATCCTAGAAATATTTATTCATATAGGCTAGTAGTTCTTCATTTTTTGGGTGCGCAATGCAGCAGACCGGAGGAAGAAGTCTAGAACCTAAAGAAATTGATACAACAAATAGTCTAGAAGCTGAAAAGGTTATCAGCATGACTTTAGAAATGGACAAATTTTGAAAAAAGACCCTTTTTTAATATTAATAAGCAAAATCGACCGTTTACAATTTTATTCAGCAAAATCGACCGCACGGGACTGCTAGTCCCGTGCAGTTCTCCAAAAACCCCAAAAATCAACGATTTCCTCTCTCTCCCTCTCTCAGTCCCTTCAGTCGCTACTGTTCATCTCCTTCAACATCCCTATTCTCCTTCAACTCAGAACCCAACACCAGAACCCACCTCCTCTCACAAAACCGCTCCAGCACCGCTCCCTCCTTGCAGCCACGCAACACGCAACACCATGAAGAACAAATCTGAGGCGACCACCTTTGGAAACCCTGCCCTCCTTGAGATCTACGATGAAGATCTCCCCCCACCAGCAACCGCCTCTCCTCCACCATCATCAACCGCGCCCCGCCACCACACCTCCCCTTCCCGCTCGTCTTCCTCCCACCAGTCTCTGTCCGCTCAGGCCGCCGCCGCCTTCATAATATTGTAAGCGGTCCCGTGCGGTCCCACCAGTCTCTAGCTTTGAGGGCGGAGGGATGGGTGTGTTTTTGGGAGAGGGCGGAGGAGGGAGGAGAGGGAGAGGGACTGAGAGGGGGAGAGAGATGAAATCGATGATTTTTTGGGGTTTTTGGAGAACTGCACGGGACTAGCAGTCCCGTGCGGTCGGTTTTGCTGAATAAAATTGTAAGCGGTCGATTTTGCTTATTAATATTAAAAGAAGGTCTTTTTTAAAAATTTGTCCTTTAGAAATTTAGCTGAGTCGGTTACTCAAAATTAAGAACAAGCAGTATAGATTATTTGTTTCTTGCAGTCTAGCTTGTGAACGGAATTAGCTCACCCAGAGGTATCATATACCCATTTACTATGCTTAGCTGATCAAATTGATGTGTAATCTGAAAATTCTATATTTAGCATGGTTTCAGGAGGCCGCAAGTTTATTATGAACATATTTATGTGATGAAGAACCTTGAATGGCCAATATGCAAACATTAATTTATATTTTACTGTTTACTTAGGAAGTCTGTTCTCCTTTATTTTTTAATACAAGATGTTGCATTGCAAACACTGGTATAATTTTAAGGATACATCAAAGTTACATGGTTTTTGTTGATTAAACTTGCTAGGTTTGGATATAGTTGTCTTTTAATCTAGATTGTCACTCCTTTTAATGTGATAGGTTAAAAATGAATAATTTGATATTTACATTCAATTTGGTGTTTTTATATGATCATTATATAGGTATCTGTGAACACGTGGGGTGTGGGGACCACACCCCACGTTCTGTTACCCAGGAGCACGAGATGCGTCTCGTGCTCATTCGTGGGGGGCACTTGTGTAAACGCGTTCTGTTAACGCGTTTTTTCGGCCGAAACTATAAATAGAAGATTCTAGGGTTTTGTGAATTTGGTTTTTTTTGGGGTGAAAACGCGGAAGCCTTTGCAGGAGAAAAACGCAGCTGTCCCTTTGAAGAAATAGGTGATTTTAAGCAGCCCCCTTTTAGGGTTTTGAGCATCCTTTTGTAGAGAGATATTGTGAGGCATTTGAGAGTTTGTTTGAGGGTTTAGATTGTGAGTGATTGTAAACCCTAGTTGTAAGTAGATCTCCCCCCTCCTTACCCCGTGGACGTAGGTAATTTACCGAACCACATAAAATTGGTTGTCTCGCTATTTGTGTGATTTGTAATAGCTTTTAGGTTCCCTCGACAGGTCAGTCCTAGAACTGATGAGAGGAAGAGCTGATATCTCACTTGGTTGAGATATTTTGCTTAAGGTTCTTGTTTCCTTTGTGAAGCAAGATTTCCTATTGCGATCTAACTCTCTTGTTGTGCCGAGGTGCTGCCGAAATTTTTGCTGCGCGCAACAAGTGGTATCAGAGCCCAGATTTCAGATCTAGGGTTTTGGAGTTTGGTGGAGGAAGATTCTTGTGTGAAGCTTGGTTCTTAGAGTTCTAGGCTTCGGTGGAGATAGCATTAGGAGTTGCCGTTGGAGATTTCGCTTTCCTCGTGTGGATAGGAGATCTATTTGGAATCCGATCTAGGGTTCAGTTGGGTGGTTTCTAATTTTTATCAAATTTTTTCTTTCTCTATAATTTGGAGTTAGTTTGTAATGAGAGAAGAAGGTGAAAGCAGTAAGTCGATGGCGAGTACAATACAAGTTGGTTTTCATAACACTAAGATTAGTGTGGTGAAGTATGACGGTAAAATCAACTTTGGTTTGTGGATGAGCGACGTACAGGATGCGCTCAATGCTCAAAATTTGGAAGAGACCATCATGGTCCACGAGAGGCCACCTAAATATGATGAGGCGATATGAAAGAAGATGAATAAGAACGCGTGTGGGGTGATCAGGTCCTGTTTAGAATAGAAACTAAAATATGATGTGATTGGGGTGACGTCTGCAATGAAGATATAGGAAATTCTCAATAACAAGTATCTCACGAAGAGTGTTGAGAACAGATTGCACTTGCTGCGAAGACTCTTCAGATTTCAGATGTCCAGAGGCACCTCACTAGCGGCGCATGTGAACAACTATACTAAGTTGTTGTCGGACTTGGAAAATATTGATGAGAATATTTCGGATGAGTACAAGGCTGTTATCTTATTGGGCTCCTTACCGGATGAGGAGTATGACACCTTTGTGCTCACTTTGTTGAATGGAAGATCTTCTATCAGCTGTAGTGAAGTAACTAACGTTTTGACGAACTATGATTTGAGGAGGAATGACAAGGATACTTCCCGCGCTAGTACTTCAGGAGAGGCATTGTCGAAGAGAGGTAGAAGCCCATATCCGAAAGGTGGTAATAGAGGAAGGTCAAAGTTTAGAGGTCGTCACCAGTTAGCAAAGAACCAATGTGCATTCTGCAAGGAGCATGGACATTGGAAGAGAGACTGCCTGAAGCTCAAGGAAAAGGAGAATAGAAAGAAAAAGGGCCCGAAGGCCAATGAGGTGAACGTTGCGAAAGGCGATGATTCCAATGATTCGATCTTTTCTCTATTGATTACTCCGGAGATGAACCACTTGGATGTATCAGATTGGATGCTTGATTCTGATGCTACTTATCATGTGACTCTTAGGCGAGATTGGTTTGCATCGTTCGAGAGACTCGATGGGGGTGTTGTTGTCATGGGAAATGATTAATCCTGTGGTATTTGTGGGATAAGTACCGTGTGGATTAGGATGCACGATGGAGTAGTCCGTGGATTAAAGGAGGTGAGATTCGTTCCCCAGCTGAAGAAGAATCTTATCTCAGTTGGAGCTTTGGAGGCAAAGGGATTCAAGGTGACATTTGAAGACGCTGTAGCAAAGGTTACTAAGGAATCTTTGATGGTGATGAAAGGAGTCCGCAGTCGGAACTTATACTATTTGAAGGGGAGCACCGAGATTGGCCAGGTTGCTTTGGCTATTTCAGAGGCGGACATGAGCAGACTTTGGCATTATAGGTTGGAGCACACATGAGAGAAGTCACTGCAAGCTTTGTGCAAGCAGGGACTATTGAAAGGGAGTCAAGAGTGGTAAAGTGGAATTCTGTGAGCACTATGTTCTTGGCAAGAAAACGAATGTAAAGTTCGGGACTGCTATTCATAGGACGAGAGGCATCCTAGACTACGTGCACACAGACGTTTGGGGTCCCACCAAGACTGCATCACTTGGTGGTCGACACTGGTTCGTCACGTTCGTTGATGACTATTCTAGGCGATGTTGAGTGTACACCATGACAAAGAAGAGTGAAGTCCTAGATATATTCGTGGTGTGGAAGAAGAGATTGGAACTACAGACCGGGAGAAAGATCAAGACGTTGTGATCCGACAACAGTGGTGAATATATTTCAGACCCCTTTCTGCAGCTATGTCAAGACGAGGGCATAGTGAGGCACTTCACGGTTAGTCATACATTGCAACAAAATGGGGTGACAGAGAGGTTGAATCGGTCTTTACTGGAGAATATGCGATGCTTATTATCGCAGAGTGGTTTAGAGAAGATCTTTTAGGCTGAGGCACTTACATATGCGAGCCACCTCATTAATAGGCTGCCTTCATCTGCGATTGAGGGGAAGACCCCTATGGAGATGTGGTCGGGAGAACCAGCACGAGATTATGACCAGCTCAAGGTATTCGGGTGCCCTGTATTTTATCATGTGAGAACTGATAAGTTGGAACCTCGAGCTAGGAAGGCCATATTTGTAGGATTCAAGCGTGGTCTCAAGGGATACAAGCTTTGGGATCCAGTTGATAAAAAAATTATGCTGAGTAGGGACATCACGTTTGATGAGGCTTCTATTTTGAAGCTTTCCAGCTCTCATCAGGTGGAGAGCGACCCGACAGAGGAGATATCGCAGGTGATGGAGATCAATGCAGCTCCACATTGTCCAGATGGTACAATATCCATTAGAGTGCCGACTGAGGTGATGCCAGGCGAGCACGACGATGACACGGGGAATACGAGTACTGATGTGCAGGATCAGGGACTCACGGCTCAGGTTCAGGATTCGATTGCGGTTCGGAGACAGAGGAGAAACATACAGATGCCAGCATGGTATGCCGACACAGTTACGTATGCACTTTCGGTAGAGAGTATCGATGAGTTCGTGCCTACTACATTCAGAGAGGCCGAATAGAGTTCGGAGGCTGATTCGTGGCAGGTGGCTATGCAGGAGGAGATGGTATCTCTTCATAAGAACGATACATGGGCGCTTGTTGAGCTTTCAAAGGGGGCGGAAGGCAATTGGTTGTGAGTGGGTATACACGAAGAAGGAGGGCATTGAGGGCACTACATTGAGGTTCAAAGCTAGGTTGGTTGCGAAGGGCTATGCACAGGAGGAAGGTATTGACTATAATGAGGTTTTCTCTCCGGTGGTGAAGTATTCTTCGATTCGGATTTTGCTAGCTTTGGTGGCACAGTATGGTTTAGAGTTAGATCAGTTGGATGTGAAGACGATATTTCTTCATGGTGATCTTGATGAAGAAATATATATGACTCAGCCATTGGGATTCCGAGCTGCAGGAAAAGATAAGTTGGTTTGCAGGTTAAAGAAATCGCTATACGGTTTGAAGCAGTCTCCTCGACAGTAGTATAGCTGATTTGATGGTTTTATGATTGGTCATTCGTACACTCGAAGCCAGTTTGATCCTTACGTATATTTTTGCAAGTTGAAAGAAGGTGCGTACATCTATTTGTTACTTTATGTCGATGACATGTTGGTTGCCTCTATTTCTAGATCGACTATAGATGAGTTGAAAGTTCAGCTTTCAAATGAGTTTAAGATGAAGGACTTGGGTGAGACGAAGCACATTCTAGGGATATAGATCGGCAGAGACAAGAAGAAGGGTAGAATTTGTTTGACACGTGTGGCTTATTTGAAGAAGGTTCTACAGCGATTCCATGTTAGCATGGATACGAAGCCAGTTAGTGTACCATTGGGAGCCCATTTGAAGCTTTCAGCTGACCTTTCACCAAAGTCAGTTGAAGAGAGTTGATGTCGAAGACTCCATATGAGAGCGCAGTTTGGAGATTAATGTATGCAATGGTATGTACGAGACCAGATTTATCACAGGTGGTGAGCATGGTTTTGAGATACATGCACGATCCAGGAGTGGGTCATTGGGACGCCGTGAGATGGATTTTGAGGTACATTCGAGGTACACTCAATGTTGGTTTGGTTTATGAACGGAACACTACAGGTGGGCAGCTATGCATTGGTTATGTTGATTCGGATTATGCCGAAGATTTGGATAAACGTCGGTCTACGACGGGGTATGTGTTTACTTTGACCCGTGCGCCAGTGTGTTGGAGATGCACCTTACAGTCTACGGTGGCTTTGTCTACGACGGAACAGAGTATATGGCAGTTACAGAGGCTGTGAAGGAGGCTATTTGGCTTCGAGGACTTTTGGAAGAACTTGGTATATCGCAGAGGTCCGTCACTATTCATTATGATATCATGAGTGCTATCTATTTAGCGAAGAATCAGGTTTTTCATGCGCGAACAAAGCACATTGACGTTCATTATCACTTCGTTCGAGATGTTCTTAAAGATGGTGTTGTGAAGATTGTGAAGGTCCACACGAAGGATAATCCAGCGGATATGCTCACAAAGGTGGTTCCGAGCAACAAGTTTGATCATTATCGAAACTTGTTGCACATTCGTGATTGTTGAGGCCGTTGGTGGCCATTTGGGTGAATTATGTTCGGCTTGATTCCTTGGGCAAGAGGATACGTAGGCAGTCTTTCAGATGCAGATGGTTTGGATTAGTTGACTTTGATGGGGGTGAGATTGCTTGGACTCTCGTTCGAGTTCCCGACTTGTTGTGGATTGAGTCCGTTGTCGTGATTTTGTTCCACTTCGTACTGGGACATTTGGATGCATTTGGTGTCAGCTCAGTTTTGGGAAAACTTCACCGAGGTAGAGAATTGTGAACACGTGGGGTGTGGGGACCACACCCCACGTTCTGTTACCCACGAGCACGAGATGCGTCTACCCCACGTTCTGTTACCCACGAGCACGAGATGCGTCTCGTGCTCATTCGTGGGGGCCACTTGTGTAAATGCTTTTTGTTAACTTATTTTTTTCGGTCGAAGCTAGAAATAGAAGATTCTAGGGTTTCGTGAATTTGGTTTTTTTTTGGGGTGAAAACGCAGAAGCCTTTGCGGGAGAAAAACGCAGCCGTCCCTTTGAAGAAATAGGTGATTTTGAGCAGCCCCTTTTTAGGGTTTTGAGCATCCTTTTGTAGAGAGATATTATGAGGGATTTGAGAGTTTGTTTGAGGGTTTAGGTTGTGAGTGATTGTAAACCCTAGTTGTAATCTCTCCCTCTATTAGTAGATCTCCCCCCTTCTTACCCCGTGGACGTAGGCAATTTACCGAACCACGTAAAATTGGTTGTCTCGCTATTTGTGTGATTTGTAATAGCTTTTAGGTTCCCTCGACAGGTCAGTCCTAGAACTGATGAGAGGAAGAGCTGATATCTCACTTGGTTGAGATATTTTGCTTAAGGTTCTTGTTTCCTTTGTGTAGCAAGATTTCCTATTGCGATCTAACTCTCTTGTTGTGCCGAGGTGCTGCCGAAATTTCCGCTGCGCGCAACAGTATCAAGAACAATCCTTTACTATTTGAGCTTCCGCCTTCGTGAAACTTTGATCGAGTCCTATGTATGGCAATGTCTCAGAGTTTAAACACGTGAGTTATGAATGTAATTTATGAATAACATTAAATACATGGTCTGAATCTGTCTTGTACTGTGATTTGACCTATATTTCTAGATAAACACAGAGTGAATTGTCAATAAGGCTGATGTTCTAATTCTTCTCATGTGGAGGATATGCATACTATACCATAGCTTACCTTAGAATCTGATGGAGTTCAGTGGTACTTAATTTGACAGTGAAATATTCTATCAATCAAAGTTTTATTAAATTACTGGAGATGTTAACCTTAACAAATTTGAAGCTGACTAATGACGGATGGCTAATAGCTTAACGCCAAGCTAACTGATGTCTCTATGTGTTTGTATGAGGTTGGTGAAGAAGGAAGACAAACTGCATCTCAATCGAGATCGTATGCTGTTTGGAATAGTGAGATGGACTCAACTTTAGCTCATATTTTGTACGATCAAATAAATCAAGGATTAAAAGTTGATGGTACTTGAAAACCTCAAAGTGTATCAAGTTGCGGTTGGTGAACTAAACTCATCGCTGAAAATCAGTTTGTATTGCATCATAAGAAAAGACTAGCATGTTCAAATTATATTGCCTCCACTCTCACATTAAAAATATTGTATGCCAGTGATATGAATTTGATAATTTCATTGTCTTGTCATATCTATTAGTCTATTGCAACTTTATTTATTTATTTGTGTATTAGTTGTTAATGGGGTTAATGTATAATGCAAATATCTAAGATATTCCTGTATCATTATGATCAAGAACAATTGTTAATCAAATTCAAATACATGTATAATAAGCATATCCAAACCATAGATTTGAAATCTCCTTTCATTTAATATAAGTACCCAACAAGTGATTTATAAAATCCATGGATTTCCTTTGATTTCAAATCTAATCTCTTCTCCCAAATGCAGCGAAAAGGCATAGTTTCATTTGTTATTAATACTAAAAAGGGCTTAATTTTCAGTGAGACTATAAGATCTAAATTGGATGTTGGAGATCTGAGGTTCTCTCCCCCAATAAAGTGTGAAATATCATAGAAATTATAACTTCGTATTGTGCAAAATCATTTTCTTGAAGTTATGAGGTTGATTCAAATATCAAATATATCATGTAATTCATCAAGTAATTAACAAAAACAATAATTGGTTTTGCCCTTTGCTATTCCTATTAAAACACGGATCGAACATTAATGGAGGAAAAATTCTCAAACTGTAAACTGTTATGATACATTAAATCAAAAAATAAGAAACCTTAGATAAGAGAACTGGCTGATTTGGAACAAAGATCTATACAGTTATATGGTACACACCTTGGCCATGGTTGGGAGATGCAGTGACTATGAGAGTCTGTTTGAGTTTTGAGAAGAGAACTCCTTCAACACTTGACCCAATAGAGAAAAGAAGAAGAAGGCCCAGAATAGTGGCTGGAGAAAAAAAGAGACTTGAAGCAGCCATCTCTTGATTATTTCTTCTTTGATTTTCCATGCTATGTATTGATTAAATTGGCTCTGTGTCCTCTCTTAGAAAGCCAACTGCTGTATTTATATATACTCAACCCAAACCTGTAACAAGAGTGAAAAGCCAACCAGTTTTAGCAAATTTAGGAAGAAGCCATTAAGCCATTTCAAAAGGTCAAGAGAAGGATATATTACTGGTTCTTAATCTCCATCAAAGGGTCAGTTTGGCAACTTAGAAATTAATCCGATTTAGTTTTGGTCCAGTTATGTTTAGCCTAGATTAGATTATACTAGTTTCTACGTGAAGTAGCTTTGAGTTGAACTTAGTTTGGCTAATTTTTAAATAAAACTCTCTAGAACTAAATCTTGTTTGGTAAATACAGTTATATATAAAGAGAGAGCGCTAATTGATGATCAAATATATTTTGATAGAATGACAATTTGATAATCAAACTTATTCGGTACTATTTCAAACAGGGGTATTGGACCGAAAAAGAAATAGTTTAGCTTAACTATTTTATTTGCCAAACTAGGACTGAGTTATTGGACTAGACTTATTCCAACTAAAATTGGTTTTAGCACTTTTCTTATTCCAACTAAAATTGGTTTTAGCACTTTGCCAAACTGCCCCAATCATTGTTAGCATTAGTGCATTAAAAAAAATGAGAGCCTGGCAGATAGCTAGTGATGAGGATGGAAGTTTTCAAAATGACTCCTAGGTGAGCTTAAGGGGCAGCAAAGAATTCGGTTGACTTCTATGAGAGATATTTATGCCAAAGTAAAGAATTTGGTTGACTTGCAACAGATATTCGCTTATAATTAACGTAATTGCTCATAAATAACGATAAACTTATGCTTACAATATGCCCTCTAAAGTCTTCGAGAGATCAAACGAACAGCCTTTCAAAAGAATATGAATTTAGTTGTCAACTGAGAAAAACAGAAAGCATTTTGAATCTTCACTATCTACTATGAACACGAGTTGCCATTTATTTCGGTCGTTACAGGTTGGCCTTTGCGATTCTTACACCTGTTATTTGGATTGGTCTTGATATTAACTGTTAAAACTCTTACGTTATTTCAAGAATGTAAACGTTATACTGTGAAAATTTCGAGCTTAAATTGAGGAGGAACAATTTTCTTACTTTCTACCTTTAACATGCTAACCATCACGTATGAAGTTTGGTATTAACGCAGTGTGTATTGCAAGGAGCAATGTTCTGATAGGAACATTGCTCTAGGAACATTTCGGCCGCACATGAGTTGGGGAAATTACAAAAACGCTTTATTGTAGTGCACAAGTGCGGATCAGACCGCTCTGCATTATGCGGGGCGTTCTAATAGGATTCGTTCTCGATTGCAAACATGTGGGACCTTTTACTGCCATGTATGCTATGATATGTCACGGGCTTGTAGTTGACTAATTTTGTTTATCTAGAAAGTTAGTGACTGAAAACTTGGAAAATGTTTAATCACAACTAAGGTCTAGAAACAAAAAAAAAAAAAAAAACATGTACGCTACCTATTAGATTATTATGTAAATCCTATCCTATTGGCCTTTAAGTCTTATATGTTTACATTAATTTCGCCTGAAAGAATGGGATTCTTTCCTACTTTCTATCATTTGGTGTCTATGGTCTGAAAGGAATAGGACTTTTACACACAAGCATATTCACTCTCTTGAATTATGGGGAAAAAAAAATCAAATATTTTGCTTCCCTATGGATAGACACTTTCAAGGAGGTATTTACTAATGGAGATTGGAGGGATGCGGTGGTTTTCTGTTAATTTATAACTTGAGACATAAATAGGCCACTTTTGATAAATATTTAGCAAAACCAACTTGTTTTTGACCAGCTCATCAAAGCTGGCCAAAAAGAGGTTGGTTTCGCTGAATCTGGTCTTTGAAACACACGGGACTACTAGTCCCTTGTGTTTAGTGGCCGCTAATCACCCACTAAACAAAACTTAGAAAACCCATTAGTCCCGTGGGTTTTCTGAATAGTATTTAGAAATCACGTGGAACTAGTAATCCCGTGCGTTAGACAGAGACTTCGCCTCTGCTGCCTAGCAAATCCACGGGACTAGTAATCCCGTGGATTTGTCAGGCCTATATAAGCCCTAGCTATGCCAAAAAATTAGGGCATAGCCATCCTCACTTTCTCTCAATCTCTCTCACAATCCCTCTCTGTAAGGACTATGAATTTTTGATATTAGTTAAAATAATTTTCTAGTATTTTAAAATATTTAATTATGATTTTTAAAAGAGAATTTATATTTTTCTCGAATTTCTACAATTTTCTATGATTTAAAGTCTAAGTTTTATATTTATTTAATTGATTTAAATATTTATAAATTTATTGAGTGCAGTAAATATTTCTAGAATTTATCTGTTGTGTTACCGATACTATTACGTATCATTTTGAATAATACGTGGTATTATTATTATTATTACGTATATGTTTGTATAATACGTTATATTATTAATTACGTATTATTTGTATAATTTATTGTATTATTTCTACTGTTATATATTATCTGTCGCATTAGTATAACTGGTACGTTTTATCGCGTAGATAATTATTCTATTATTATTTGATTTTAAATTTAAGTAATTATATTTTTCTATTAATTATTCTTGTTTAATTATACAATTTCTTGTAATATTTCTACTGTTGCATATTATCAGTTGTAATACTACAACTGGTACGTTTTACTGTGTATATAATTATCATATAATTATTTGATTTTAAAAATAAGTAAATATTTTTTATTTATTAATTATTCTCTTTTAATTGTACAATATGGGTATATTTTGACTATTTCGTATCAACTATTGTATTAGCACAACATGTATGTTTTTAATTGTAGATAATTATCTCGTAATTATTTTGATTTTTAAATATCAGTAATTATTTCTTTTTAATTAATTTCGTTTTAAAATAATTAACCCTAACCCTAATATTACACTATATATATGTATATTAAAATGCAACCCCTCTCCTGTTCATCCTCTACGCCGCCACCATCATCACTCTCCTCTCTCTTTCTCCCTGAACCCATCACCACGCCAACCACCTCCCCCTGTTCACCCCGACCTCCGTCGCCTCCACCCCGTCGGCCTGACCCACGCCACCCGACGCCTCGCCTTGGCCGCCGCTCGCTCCTCTCTCTTTCTCCCTGAACCCATCACCACGCCAACCACCTCCCCCTGTTCACCCCGACCTCCGTCGCCTCCACCCCGTCGGCCTGACCCACGCCACCCGACGCCTCGCCTTGGCCGCCGCTCGCGCGTCGAGCCCACCGCCTGAGCTGTCATCGCCCTCGCAACCACCCCTGTTGCCTCCCTCGACCCAAACCCTCCACCTGCCCAGATCCGCTCCGATGAGCTCCACGCCCGCCACCTGCCGCCGCCTTGGCTGTCGACGCCGACGGCCACGCTCAGCTCCGTCGACGACCAGCAGTCCCCCAGCCCGCCCGTGCCTCTGCCTCCAAGCACGACCACCTCGCCGCCCGACCCCGCTGACCCGTCGCCGATGTCGTCGCTGCCCAAACCCGTCTCCGACAGTCCCGCATCCGATCCAACCCGCATCGCACGTCGACGTCGATCCGTTCGACGAACCCGAGGCAAGATCCCGATCCTTGTTTAGTTTCGTTTCGGTTCTTATATTTATTGTAGATCATTTATGTGCAAGATCCCGATCCTTGTTTAGTTTCGTTTCGGTTCTTATATTTATTGTAGATCATTTATGTGCAAGATTCCGCTCTCCTGTTTCGTAGTTTGATTATTTACATTTTTTATGAATTATTTGCATAGTTTAATTGTGTCGTATTTATTTGCGTGGGTTGTTTGGGGAACAATATTGATTCACATAATGGATATGTGATAAATGACATTTTTAGAAAAAATATAATGAATTAAAAGAATTTAGTTTGGCAAAAGAATCATTTTTAGATAATTATAATAATTTAAAAGAATTTATTTTGAAAAATGAATTAGTTTAGTTTAATTGTTAAGAGAAATAATTTAAATGAGTTAATTTAGAAAAAGATTATTTTCTGATTATGTAGCTGCTGTTTATGATTTATAATTCTTATTTTGATTATCTGAAATATTATGATATTATTACACATGATTAGTTGCATTGATTGATTGCTCCATGTTGTGATTGAGAATCATTAGGAGTTTATGACTATAGTGACCCGTATGACACAGTTAGGATCTAGAACACCGTGTGTAGTTGACCTAGAATTACGAAAATTGGGATGAGAAGTCTTGGTCCATGTGAGCGGTTGTGATTGTTGATGTATATTCCGGGCTCGCGCTGGTGAAGTTTGTGTAGTCACCGGGGTGGGTCCGAGGAGTTGTGATATGAGATTGTTGATGTATTTTCCAGGCTCGCGCCAGTGTCTTGTTTCGGCCTGGGGTGGGTCTGAGGAG